ATGTGGATATGCCTGAACCCCTGCAATCTGGAACACCCCAAGGCGGGCTGGATTCCAGATCAAAGCACTGTTGCTGATCCCATCCGTAGCTATCTTCTCCTGGAGATCAGCATGTTATAAGCCAAGGATCTTGCTTACACAGACTTATTTCTGAACAAAACACTATTTTAGAGAAATGCCTGTGTGCCTTCATTCTAACACCAGTCACACCAGAGTGCACGCAATGGTACACGAGAGAGACTGCTCTTCCAGTGTCTCATAGAGGAGAAAGGTTCTCTCACTCCTTGCCCTTGACTAACATTAAGCCTAGTCCTCTCATTTTGCCCTTCCCCAGCACCCAAATTTAATTCGCTAAAGCAGCAAGTTATAAAGCATTCTAGGTAATTAAGATGTGTTGGAAAGGGATAGTAGTCTCTGGCTTGCAGCATCTAAAGTAGGAAAGGAGATGTGGTTTAACACAGGGACAGAAAGCAACTTAGGAGACCCAGTTTTGTTCCCATTTGTCACTGATCATGTGGGCAGGCTTTGGTGTATCACTTCACCTCTTTCCCAGCATACACTGTGCCTTATAGCAAGGGAGAGTCTTTAGTCTGTTTACGTGGTAACTAGTACATTAAGGCTTTAACTTCCCTGGAGCCTTCAGGAGCTGCTGAAATGAATACTTGAATCGCTGATAAGAAAGCCTGGATCCCTTTAAAGGTGGAGCAGAAGAGGAGAGGGTGATTACAGTACTTCCAAGAACATTTCCCAATATACACAGATTAGATTAGTCTGAGTTTCATCCCACATTGCACAAGATGGCCTGCACATGTATTTATGCTGTTTGTTGCGTCCAAATTGTTATTGACCAGTACTTTATAAACCTATACTGCTTTGGTTCACCTCAAACTACAAAACTGATTGAATCAAGCAAGGGAATTGGCTCACTAGGTGAGCACTGATGCCACAAGCTTACTCTAAGGGGATAGCTTTATTGCAATAGGAATAACTGCAGCATATACAGGTGTCACCATGCTCTCTTTAATGTACAGCAACATAGCTGAAGAAACATAAGCTCCAGAGCCATCTGGTATGTGTTTGGGTGGTGAATCCAGTGTTACTGCTGTGGTTTCTTAAGTAAGCTATACTGAAGAGGTAGCTTAGATGCATCTTCCTGAGCTGAAGTCAGATTTTTGATTGCTGCATAATCATTCCAACATGGTTCGAGTATAGGGCATAAGGCTTCTCATCTAGAATACTTTGTAGTACTAGTCACTGACAGGATACTGCAAAGCAGTAGAAATTCAGAGGGAGAGCTTGGCCAGGGTGAAGAAGAGACTGACCTTTAAACTTTTTGCTCCAAGCCAAAATATCCCTCATTCCATGTTTTCCCACTGCAGAATTTTTACTCCTTCTCTGAAGCATGCAGTGCTGGCATGTGTCAGAGATGAGATGCTGTATTAGACTACACTCAGATCTTAACCCATATATAAGAGCATAGGGATTTCCATAAATAGCACCAAGTAGAGCACAATCCTTGCCAGAGGTAAAGTGTCTCCCTTGCTTCTCTTTATAGGGATACCCTAGAAGTAACAGAACTATTTGTAAAAGATCATTAGGGACAGTATCGACAAGGTCTAGTAACTGTGATGCCAGCAATTTGAACAATCAGTAAGTTAACATTTTGTCCAACAGAAGTATACCAGGCAAGGCAAGGCAAGGCTGAACAATAGACCAATTATACTTTAGTACTGTATGCACAGAACAGAAAACAGAATGAAGGCAACATCTCTGCAAGTCAATAATCATTGTTGGCTTTAGCTACCTTCATCTTACTTTGACTCAAAAGTCAAGAAGGCTGAACACAATATCATTAGACTCTTAAAAAAAAACAAAATTTTCTTCTTGGTTACAGAAGCCAGCCAGCACAAGAGAGATGCATATATTTCACTGGCTGCTCTGGATAGATGTAGGCATAACACTCTAAAGCGCTATTAAAAAGAAAGTAAAGAGGACTTACCCTCTACTCTCTCCAGAAACCGTGATACTTGATTCTAAAATGCATAGCAAAGGTATGAGCTGCAGCACAACATCCATGCTTCCAACTTTGTTATCTTGGTAGAAGTACAGGTTAGACCCGATTTCGGAATATTTATTTGTACCTTTTGCTATTGATTTCCAGATGGACAAATCAAAGGCAACACCCACAAAAAGATGCCAACACAGACTTACTGGAAGAGCTCCAAAGTCCATTGGAGGAATAATCTGATAACTGGAAAATAGTAAACTCTTGTGTTCCAGCATTTCCCATAAGGACTGGAAAAGTACCTTTAACCGAGGACTTTTGCTCCATACCTACTCCCATTTTAACCCAAGCAGGGAACAGAGCTTCTCTCAAACTGAGACACTTGAATGCCCAATAAAAACTGCCATTGCAGAGAATACTATGAAAGAAATGCAACTAGTTTAACATGTTTATGTTGCACTAAAAGAAGTTAACGGGACCTGTCTCTTAAGGGATCTTGACTCAGATGATGTGGAAAGTAAGCAGACTTTTTTTTTTTTTTTTAAACTAAAGGGGTTTTGTGTTTTCTTGTTGGTCTGAACTGTCCTTCACTCCTTTTCATTGTGAAATCCCAAATAAGTCAACTGTTCATCTGAACAGCATCTTGTGATCTACTAGGAAGCCACATCAGTTTACATGTATGAGTGAGGACACCAAGTGCACAAGTGGCTATTTGAGATCACCCTTTGGATGCTTTGTAAATCTAGCCTCAGTCCTTGAAAAAGGAGATGCTAAAACAAGATAGCTTAGGCAGGCTGAGCATTTTTATTTTAGGTGAAAAGGCATGGAATTGAGCTATATGTTCCAGAATCCTATGGCCATTTAGGACTACAAGATATACTCAAGTGCTGGTGTGAGCATCCAAATTGATAATCACATGTATAGGGCAGTAACACCATCTACTTCATGTTCTTGAATTAAAAGAACAATGCTGAACTTTCAGCAAGCTTCTTCTGCCAAGTTAAATGAAGAAAGGTATATAGGCTCACAGGTGATCTTTTAGAAGTTAATCCCCCCTTATCCTCCCATGCTACATGAAGAAGCGTCCTCATCTTTTTTCTATTGCAATGCAAGCTTCAGTTACCCATCAAGGCTGGGGGCAGAAGTTTCACACAAACCAGTTTAAGTGATCAGCAATGGGTTTAAACCTGTAACAGAACAGACATTCAATGCACATAAACCAGTTTCAAAATGGCCAAAACTAGTTTAAGACAAACTTGTTTAAATGTAGTCTGATTGAACTGATGTAGGTCAAACCAGTTTGTGGAACTTCTGTCCCAGACCCTTTCCTGGTTCAACTGAAATCAGAGTCCCTCAGCATCCCAGCATGCTTTGCAGCCCTGGGCTGGGCTGTGTTCTCTGCTGGAGCAGCCCTACCCCTCTGCTCTCTTGCCACAGCAGTGACAGCTGGCTGACAAGGGGGTTGGGATACAACCCTGTTTGCCTAGCAGGGATAGAGCAGCCCCTCCACTTTTCCCAGCTAGAGTGGAGGGGGTGGGGTGTGGGACAGCAAGTTCAGGTGAAGAAGGGAGGGGGGAAATCAAACCCCCCTGCTTCCCCTTTCCCATCAGCACAGGACACCAGCTGAGGTCTGCCTGGCTTTTCTCCCTTACTCAGTGGCAGGGGGGTATGCCCACCCAGCAGCCTGGACAGCACCTCAGGGGGAAAGAAGGGAGTGGGATTAACCCCCCCCACCTCCCCTCTCCCACCAAACACAGGATCCCAGCTGGGGCCTGCCCAACTTTTCCTCCCTGCTCATCACTTGAGCAGCAGAGGGTGTGGGGTCCCATGCTGGTGAGGGGGGTTTAATTGCCCTCCCACCCTTTTGCCTGAGCCATGGCTCCTGCTGCTCAGGGACAAACATGGCAAGGGCTGCTTCCCCCTCCTGGCACACCTCAGCTAGGATCCCTGCAGGCCAGGGTGAGGGTTTATCATGCTCAAAAGCCTGTCAGGGCCTGGCCACCCCTCAGCTCAGCTTCTCTCCAGCCTTCTGTAAGCATGTGGCTGCATTTTCAGGATCAAAAATGAACATCTATTCACTTGAATCTCAGTTCAATCTACAGTATTTAGACTAAATCAGCTAAAACTGAATTGATTCAAGCTCAGGCTTTTTGAACATTTTGCCACTAAGAGAGACTTGGGAGCCATGATTAACCAGAAGATGAACACAAGCCACCAGTGCAATGCCACAGGCAGCAAAAGCAAGTAAGAGTCTGGCTTGCATCTATTGATGCAGCTCAAGTAAGACCTAAGATGTGTGGAGCCCAAAATTGGACACAGTACTCCAGCTGTGGCCTCTTAAAGGCAGAGTAAAGCAGGAGGCTAACTTCTTGGGTCTTGCTTGAGCTACATTGGTAGAGTCCAGAGGAGAGCTATGCACATGATTAGAGGACAAGAGAAGAGGCTGAGGCAGCATGGGACTTCAGCCTGGAGAAGCAAAGACTCAGGGATCATTTGGTGGTAGCCTACAAGCATAAGGGGTATGTATCAGGAACTGGGAGAACATTTGTTTACTAGGGTACCCCAAGACAAGGTCCAACTATTCCAAACCACTGGAAGACCATTTTAGATTGGACATAAGGAAAAACTTCTTTACAGTCCATGGCTCTAAAGTCTGGGATAGGTCCCCCCAGAAATGGTGCAAGCACCTACTCTGGATACTTTTAAAGAAACAGTTGGTTCTTATCTTGCTGGGGTAGCCTATCCCAGATTTCAGAGCCATGGGCTGTAAAGAAGTTTATCTTGGTGGGGTGGCCCAACCCCAGTTAACTTCCTGCCCTTTGGGCAGGGGGCTGACATGATGGTCTTGCAGGGACCCTTCCAGCCCTAGTGTCTATGTAATCTAGACAACATCTGTACCTAACAGAAGATCTGGTCTGTACCCAAGCCATAAACAAGGGCAGAGTTTGAGCTTTAAATAGTAGGCTCAAAGTAATCCAGGCTATAGAAGCAAGTTTATATGGATTATGGTGGGGAGAGAGACAGAAGGGAAGTGGAAGGACAAAACAAGAAACCAAGAACACCCACACGTTAGAATTCTTAGGTTTTTGTACAATCACAGCACTGATCTAGACTTGGTTGCACTTTATGTACCTTCTCCATATCCTTATAGAAATTGGAGTGGGAGATAAAGATGCTCTACAGTCTGGAAGTAGATAGGCAATGCATGTTCTGGAATGTCCAGGCAGTGGAATGAGTAATATGTAATAGGCCTAATAGTAGCTTTTATATGCACTCAGTACAATTAACTTGTGTCATTTTTAGCTTTGAGCGTACTTGGGAAATGTAATGTCTGAAATGAGATTAACTAGATACTGGATGGGAGGTTGACTAAAAAACCCTAGTCATAAGACACCAAGTTGAGACTTTCATTTTGTATAAAGAAGCATCTAGAACTACTGCATGATGTTCATTACTTCATAACTCCATCATAGGATTTAAATACTACAATATAAAAAAGTTGAAATATTTCTTCTGTAACTAGGAGGTCAGGTTAAATGGTTTATATTTAGGCAGCTATTAAAATGAAGCTTCTCTGTAGCATAGAGATTGTAATATCTAGACAAACAACTAAATCAAGTATACAAAAAGCCTCTTACACAGACATGCCCCCAGTTTATTTCATTCAAGTAGGTCAACTCATCTCAATGCATTTCTGAGGAAGACAACCCCTACCTCTACCCTGTAGCAGTCTACAGTTTGAGGGGAGAAGGCAACAAATGGATTCTTTTCACTTAAATTTGACACCTGCTACTTGTGCACAGGCATTTGCTGTGGACATGGGCAACTTGCTAGATGCTAGAGCACCCAGCTGGGGTAGGAGGCAGGCATCAGCTCCTGGGCTGACCCCCAACCAGCTTACCTGGGGGCTGCAGCAGTGATCCAGCAGCAGGGAGCTGGGCCAGTAGGCAGACAATGTTCTTCTGGCTGGCCAGTCTCTGGTTTCAGACAGCACATGCTGCTGCTGCTGCCACCACCACCACCACCACATGCACTGTCCCACTTTTTCTAGCATGTGGTTTTTGATATTGGACCATCCCAGTGTCAAAACCAAGGGACAGACAGAAAACCCACCACCCACATAACACCCCACACATGCAACCAAAAAAAAAAAGTCACCCCCCTCTTAAAAAACCCTCACCCCATGCTGCAAGTTAGCAGCATGAGGAAACATCTGCATGTGCTACTGCAGACAAGAGTGCAGTGCTGCTGCAGACTGCATGTGCATGCTTGTTTGGATGTGTCCACACAGACTGTCAGTGTAGTTTAGGTCATACATAGGACTGTTAAAGAGATCATTCAGTCTAGTGCCTAGTTTGAAAGTTAGAGCTACTGTATTAATATATCATTGTGATCAATAAGAAAAAAATTTCAAAACATGCCATGTAGCAAGCAGGTGGCTTGCACATTCCAGGACTTGGAAAAAAAACAAAAACAAGTGGACAGACAAATACAACTTTCCCCATTTGCTTTCAAGAGCTGCATCTTTTAATGTCAATAGGTAACACTTCTTGGGAAAACTACAGTTTATATAGACAGTGTAACATCCATACATTTCCAGTTCAAGACAGTTTTTTTTTTGTTTTTTTTTTTTAACATTGCAGAAAGTGCACAAGGAAAGTCTATGTACAGAAAAAAGTTGAATGACTGGCTGAATTGGTCACTAAAAAGCTCTCTTCAAGTTGATTTTCTAGTAGTTCTGCCCAGTTAAGTATTTGCTTAATTATCTGCTTTATTAAATTACAGAAACATAATAGTATTTCAAGTTTGTGTTTTTCCAATGTCAGATAGAAAACCAACAAGACACTGATCAGCTATAACCATCATCTGGATTAGACCCAAGGTTATTATGACCAATTTAGCTATTAAATCTGTTAGTACAGATTCACAAAAAAAGGCACTGCCTTGTTTAAATAGGGATGACCATCTCCTATATTACTGAAAGTGGTACCTCAATTTACATTAAACCAAGGCATGGAAGTCATAAAAATATCAGAAAGATTGTCATTTTGCCTTCAACATACTGGAGCTGTGTCATGTCATAATACATGTGAGGAAGCACTTGATTCAAGTTCAAACCATCAGGTACATTTACCAAAAAAAGAAGAAACGAACCACCAACCAAAACCTTATCTGCTTGTTCCATTCTCCATCCATCTGCCAGCCAATTAAGAAGAACCCAGCATCTTCATCAATTTGTTTCCCTGAAAAACCCTTGTAGCACCAAAGGTGTTAGAACCAAAGTTGTCTTAAGTACACGTTACATTCCAGATTTAAACCAATGGCCCTCTTCTCAGACTTTGCTGCTTAGAGTTGTGACAAGCCAAGTTGTATATTCAGTTTCTCATTTACAATTATAGTTTTTTCCAAAAGTTCTACTGTTGTGTAATTCAGTCCCTTATAACAAAACACAAAAACCACACCAAAACCCAGAAGAACAGTGGAGTTTTGCCAGGAGAGATTGGCAGGCAGGATTCTTTACTGCCTACTTTGGTTTGCATCTTTATTGTTTAAAGTAGTACACAAGAGACAGCCACATTTCACTACTAGTTAGTGATAGTCCAGACAGAAGTAGGTTTTAAAGTGTGAGGGACGAGTTCAGAGACAGAGGCAAGTAAATGCCTTAAAGAAAGGAAGGAAGAGCAAGTGATCCCATCAGGTAGAGTAGAAAAGACTCAGGTGATGCAGAACTTAAGCTAGTAATCCCTTCCCCTGCCTGGAGACGAAACAATCTTCAACTTTGTGTTCAGTTCATTACAGTAAGTGCTACCATCTGTGAGAGAGTGACCAGATTTAGAAATAGCAAGATGTGTTCACATGACTTGTCCATTTCTCCCAAAGGAAAGCTGTAAAGGCTATAGAAAATTTGTATCCAGAAACTTAAGATTTACATCTCCAGCATAAAAGTGTTGATTTCTCCACTTAACAGCATTCAATGCAACTTCAGTCTGCCAAGTTTGATGAGAGTACAAAGATATAATACTGGATGAATGCAAGTTGATTTAGGCAGTCAATGCAAAAAAAGTGAAACAAGTAGACAGTGTCAGGGTGTCCAATTTGTTTGTCCTTTGTTGGTTATGCCTGGGTTTCTGGTCAAGTGAAGAAAAAAAAGTTAAGAATTGTCTAGCAGCTTAAAAGCAACCTTCAACTACTACTAGACAAACAGAGAACCAGGAAAAAAAAAAAAGTGTAGCCTTGTAGAGGGATCCCAGGTTATGCTTAAATGTTAAGTTTCTTTTAAGAAAAATGAGAGTAACTGGTCCCATGTTAAAGTACAATGTAGTGGTGTTAGGTTTTTGTATTTCCTATTCAAAGTCTTTCAGGACATCTTACCAATAAAAGTAGAATAGCAAAAATTTACTTGTTACAGAATTGCCACTTGACCTTGCTATAAGTCAGTAGCCAAATGAGCCTGCATGTTTAAGATATTCCTGGAATGGGGGCTCTAAAAAGTTAAATATTAAAGAAAAGTTAAAGTTCTGGTAACTATCTTTGCAGTAGAAGCATTCCACTTAGGAAAGTGGAGGTTAGAAAGCAAGTGGGCTCATTTACTTGCAGAGTTCAGCCAGATGCAAACTGTCATCTTATCTGCTTCTCAGGCCAGAGAGACAAGCTCTTTGGCAACTAACCTCCAAACAAGAAATCCATTATGAACTGCAGGGGGTGGTCCAATAGGAGATATATGGATGTCTTCCTAGACATGCATTGGCTACAATACTGGCACTTCCTCTGTTAGAGATTCTAGAATTAAGTTTCAAGATGCTACAACAATATTATGCATTCTGTAGAATAGGTTTATTTAGAGATGGATCAACAAGATAAATGCTTATTTGAAGCAATACTATTCAAGCACATTCAGTGTACCCAAGTAAAATATTGGCTAAGTTAGTCTTCATTAGCAATGAGTTTTGCTGTATACTATTTGAATTCTTTTCTTGTTGATAAAACTTCTAAAAATAGATGTCCATCATTGTAGCAATTGCTTTGGTTAGACCTCATCCAGGAAGTTAACCATCCAGCACTCAGTTCTTAGGGTGAAGCATTCTGTTCTAAAAGGGATGAGTTTAAGATCTTGCCAAATGTCATAACTACCTCCCACACTTAGTAGAATTTCATTTAACATTCTGTAATATTACAGTTACTCCATTATGTACAAGATCTACAACTTCAGTAAGTCTGCTTTTACAGTTAGTGCCCCAAAAGCTTCTAAAGCAGCCACAAATTTACCCTGCTCTTATACCTTAAAGCCTTGTTAGTATGCTAATGTCCCTCCTTCCCAATTCCTTTCTTCCCTCCTGTCCCTGCCCCCTCCCCCTGCAGAGGGTCCACAACCAGTAGGCTCAAGACAACCAGGGGCTGTTCCAAAAATCTCTCTTCAGTCATGGGAGGAAGAATGAATGTTTCATTCTCCATGAAACCACCATATTGACCAGTTTGGTCACTTACCAGATTTATGCAAATGGATTTCCAAAAGGATCACCAAATGGATCAGAAGTTGATGGTTGGTCAGGTGCCATCTAAAAACAGAAACATACCCCCAGTGAAGCCACACATGCCGATAAGCAGTTTTCAGATTCCATCTTTACACTACTAGCTACGCATTCTAGACACTGCGTGCGCACCAAATCAAAGCAACTTAAGCTTTTGTGCACTTGCCATAATGGTCAGGTTTAAAACAAGAATTTAAACTTAAACTAGCAAAGTGAAAGCTACATTAGAACCAAGATAAACAAAAACCTGAAAGAGGGCATCATCTCTTATTGGACAAGTGACCTTCCCAATGCATGTTAGTTTGGACTTCAGCTAGTAAGTGCAAAGACTAAAGTTTTACTATTGTAAGCTAGAATTGGAGATGTTCCAGAGTTTATAGATGGCTTCAAGTCTCACATACTAGATGAGGCATGTTGTTAGGCCATTTCCTTCCCTTAGTGATATTTAGAGCTGGAGCCTCATTTGTTGAGGACAGGAGCTACACCTTCTGTTTTCTAACTTTCCTGAAGAGCAGTGGTTGAATTGAATTTGCAAGCATTGATTCAGGCTCTTGCAGCTATTTTTTTTGGCAAAAAGAAAGCCCTTTCTATTGTTTGCCTTCCCTCTTCAGGAGGGAGCTGGCCAGCCCTGTACAAATAGGGGAAGAGGGAAAGCACAACTTAAGCCAAGATGAACCAATCCATGTAACCATGTTAAATTAAAACCTGGAAGCAGAGTTTCTGGACTCTCCATAATGAGAACTTCTTGGAAACTACAGAGCTAGTGGAGCAACTGCAGCTGAAGGCCAGATACAGCAGGACTTTCAAAGTCTAGAGCAGGCATACTGCTCTCTAGTACTTACAGAGGGTTTTGAAGGGGCACTCAAAGGATCAGTTTTAAGTGGGCTGTCAAACAGGCCATTATCTGGTAGACTGCTTTGTCTAGGAGCAGGTTTTGGTGGTTCTGCAGGAGAAGAAAACCCAGTAAGTTAAGAGTACACAGAGCCTCTTGTGCTCAGTCTATGCAGTCAGACAACTATGTCCTTGGGGGGGGGGGGGG